TTTTGTCAGGCAGAAATTTATTTATACCCCCTTAGGGTGTAAGAGGATATCTTGCCTTTTTTTGTGTTTTTTTTTTTGTTGCTGTTGTTGTGTTTAAATCTCTTCCGTTATTTATTTAAGTTAAAGTATGTTATATCTTAATTCTAATTGTACCACATCACTGAATACTTATTTTGGAGATACTGTTCTATATCTTGTGATATTTTTTGTCAATATTTTGAAATTTGCAATTTTTCAATAAAGTTTTGAAGAAAAAAAACAAAAACAAAAAAGATTGATAGATTTAAGTAGCTCAACAACATTATTTCCACTCATTTTTGGTTTAATACTTTTTCCGGAAGAGGATTAGGGCCCCTTAAAAAATTTAAAAAAAGGATTTTTACATTTTATTTTATTTTAATATGGGAAAAAAGTGAATTCTGACTTTGATCTCAGAATTGTGACTTTTTTTCCTCAAAATTCTAACTTTAATTTTAGAATTGTGGATCTTAATGTAGATGGGCACCATGAATATGTGGGAACAATCAGCTTCACTGACAGAGATGTGAGCTGTTTGGGAGGAACAGGAACACACTGATTGAAAATGACAGAATTAGGCGACTTTTTACATCCCTGAGGGGTCCCCGGTGATGCTATTTGATTAATGGAAGGAGATTACAACAAGAGAGCTAGTCTCTAAAACAGACATGGCTACGACTTGATGCTAACATGTTTGTTAGCTGTCACAATTAAGTCAGAATTCTGAGATTAAAGTCAGAATTCTGACTTTTTTTCCCATATTAAACTGAAATAATTTTCAAAAATCAGGTAATGTTTTTTTTTGTTTTTTTTTTCAGTGGCCCTAATCCTCTTCTGTATCTTTTCGGCAGTTTACAGGGATTAACTCTGGATTAATCCAAGAAGAAATAAATTATTTTAGATCTCATATTGAATATTGTAGATTTATTGTTTAATTATTGTTTAAATTGTTTTTTTTATAAAGTATTTGATACAAAAAACAACTGTTTTAAGTTATGTTTTGGAATTTTGGGGACTAATATTATATTAGAAAAACTTTGTATATAGGTTGCATTAGTTCTGTAAACTGGGTTATCAATTAAAAAACAACAACAAATAACTCCCAGAATTGATACCATTATCATTGAAAACAAGGATGTCCAATCAGTCTTTCTCCATTTGTTCTGGTCACACTAGTAGAGCCAGTTTCAGTGAATAGTCTATCTGTTGATGACTAAACAAATTCACTATTGGCAGATATCTGAAAGCCAACTGAATTTAAAAGAAGTGATGGAATCTGAACATATTTTCCATGAAAAAGCTTTTAAGGCCGTAGGTTGAAGGCAATAGTCAAACTGAATCCTAATGAAGGAGTTTCCATTAGTCAGGTTCTAATTATTTAATGCATATTTAACTTTTGGGCAATATGTAGAACACAGAGACCTTATCTATCATGAAAGCTGAAGGCACAAACTCTGGTTAGATCTAGTTTTACACAAACGGCAGCTAAATCCTTTCAGGGCTCCCAAATGCTAAAGGAGGCCATGCACTTCTCTTGGTGTTGGCTTGTAAGTGTAATGAAGCCAGTCAGAAACAAACATTAACAATTTTGCAAAAGCATACAAAATGTTTAAAAAAACAAGCTCTGATAATTAGGGGCGGATTTAGGATATTTGGGGCCCTAGGCAAAGAAAGGCAGGGGCCCCTATGAACTGAGAAGACGACACATAAAACAGACCCATTCTACAGAAAAATGTTAATAGAATAGACATCCATT